TAATATAATTTCATAAGCTCTCCTTTTTTTAAAAGTATACACTGACATAGTAACAACCCTGGAAAAAAATGTATCTAACTATTCATGTTGGTAAACTTTAGAAAGTGAGACTGTAACTGATATCTTCTAATTATCTTTTTTTGTTTCTGGTGTTCTCAAAAAGATTAAAATGAAACCACCTTGTATAATAATTATTAGCATAATAAAAATTAGGTGAAATAAACCAACCTACTTAGCATAGTATCTGGCAAATTTTAGATGCCCAGTGGAGGTTAAAATATTGAATGAGTGGCCTGCAATCTAAGCTAACATTTCAACTGCCCTTGCATAGACTACATTCCGGCTCCTCCACTGAATGATCCCACCAGGATGAGAAAACAGAGGAAAAGGGAAGGGAATACAGTAGAGAACATAAAAGGAAGATTCAAGAAGGAGATGCAGTGAAGGAAAATCTCCATCACTTAATCACGGAATGTGGCACTTCCAAGGCACACTGTGAAAAGGGGACTCATATTTTCTGGGCACAGTGCAGGCACTCCCAAAGAACACCATCCCCCACTCTTACCCAACCCCATCCTGCAGGTGGAGGATCCACCTGAACAGTCACAAGTGAAGTAAGTGGCAGTGATTTGAGTCACAGCATCCCGACTTCAGTACAGAGCTCCTTCTGATGAAGGAGCACAGCTCTGAAATCTATGTAAATTTTATATGTAAATCTATGTAAATTTAATTTGACTTAGTGATTCAGAAGGATGTGGAAAATAGGAAAGATAGAGCAGATTCTGAACACTGAAGAAAAAAGGTACTAAGAGTATATTGATGAGCACTATGAAATATATGCAACCTTCAGTCCAATAATATTTATGAATGGCATGAACATTTTCAGGAGCTATGAGAAAGAGAAAGAGAAAGAGAAAGAATGCACCTCATCAATCCAAACAAATGAGAGGGGTATGGCCACAATTTGTGGGAGAAGAATTTTCATTGTCTGTTTTCACTGTCTTTCATTGCTCTTTGTGTTTTTGTGTTCAAATAAATGGGTCAAGATCTAGTTTTCTACCCTAACCCCTTGGATCTTTGCCCTCTGCCCGCCTCAACCAAACCGCTAAATTGGAAGACAGAAACTGTCTATTGACTCTATTATTAGCGCCAAAAACTGTACTCCAATTGCTGGAGAAATTACTCAAATGCAAATATTGGTGCATCAGAATGCTGATGCACCCTTGGTGCTGACTGCACCCACAGCGTGGAGTCAATGTGGACAAGAAGAATTGTGTCTCCTATATTGTGGTCCTCTACCTTTTCTTCTGAGCAGCTAAAACAGCACTCCCACATCTGCTCACAGTTCTATAGGTCACGGTAGGGTTGGGTTCTCTGAGGGCAGCTCATAAGGCTGAAAAGGAACTGAGTCCTCATCTGGTAACTGAAGGAAAATCCTGTTCAAAGATCTTTCAGGTTGATGACAGATTTCAATTCCCAAAGTTGTGGCAATGCAATCTCCAGGGGTTCTTTCAACTTCTAGAGACACCCACATGCCTACTCACATGTCTCCTTGGGCCTTTAATAAGTCAGCAACAGTTTATCAAATCCTCCTCATGCTTTGGATCTCTGACTTGCTCTTCTGTCCTGCAATTACCTATGAAAAGTTAGTCCCTTCTTTCAGATTATCTTCCTTTTTTTCAGTTCTGGAACAGGACACTGCATTTTAGCCAGCATCTTCATGTGCATCATGGGTATTACCTAGAAGCTAGTGCTGGTTTTGTCTGTTATTCATATCTGTCTTGTGGGTAACACTTTAATAAGAAGAGTTTGCTTTGAGATTGTGGATTTACATCTTAAAAGAGGTAAAGGCCAAAAACTGAGGTGCTATTCCATGGCTTTCCTTCACTATAGGCATCAAATACCCAACTGGGAAGGGACATAAGAACTTTGGACTCCCTTGATCCCAACTCACTGAGCTTTCCTTTTCTCCCCTGCTTTGATGTTGACTAACTATAATCTGGGTGAGAACTCTGGCTGTATTGAAGACAAGAAGATGTAAGTTCTTTGGAAGTCAACTAATCATATACTTCAGTTAATTAGAATCTGAGTTTTGACTTGACTTCTATTAGTAAATGACAAGACCACTATTTAGAGATTCACTAATTGCTATTATAAACAATCTTGAAACTGTAAATATAATGTTCCAAACACAATAGAAATTCCTACCAATGTAAAATCCAGAATGGGTGATATTGATCAACAAGGAGCCTTCTTTCTTATTAGAGAAAACAGATTCCTCTTCCACCTCGTAGTTCTATCATCTTAAATGTGGTGCTCTCAGGTAAACGACATGTCTGTATTTGCACCAAGTAGAGTCCATGAGCGATCTTTTGTGATGGACCAGAAAGTGGAACTTATCATTTTTGATCATGTTCTACTGGTTAGAATTCAGCCACGTGACCACACCTACATGTAACAGAGGCTAGGGAATGTAGGCATGTGCCAGGGAGAGAGGAAATATGTGTGTGGGACTGCTAGCCAGTCTGGGGCACAACAGGAAAATAAGTTAACCTTGGCACAGCAACAGAACAATGGTAGTTTCCCACATATGCCCTGAAGGCTCGAGAATGAGTAAAGCTGGGTCTCTAAAACTGCACCTTCAGTCCTACACGGAATCCCTGTATGGAATGAAAATCTTGCAAAGGTTTCTGTCTGAAAAAATTAGTAATTACAGAACTCCACCTCGTCCTAAGAAATGAAAGCAAAGAGAAGCATTGGGGGGAGAAAAGAAAAGAATGTCAACAAGAGTTGTTGGGGAAAAAATACCATCAAAATATCACCAATTAGTTTGAAGCTTTGATTTATCAAAATTCCTCCTTTGGTTCAGCTAATTTGGGTTTCACTCTACCAAGTTAATAAGCCATAGATATAAATGATGACATTATAGTGCTAATTATCTTAATGCATCCTTATTCATCATATATTCTACCTCAGACCATGCAGATGCCTCATGATGGGAAGGAAGGGATGATGCAGGAAAGAGAAGGAGGTAAGGGAGGGAGGAGGCAGAGAGGAAGTGTGTTTCTCCTCCATGTGTTCACTGGACACCAACTATACCTGGCTTTTAAGAGCAGATGACCCCCCCCCCACAAAACCACTGCTCTAACAGCAATGACAAAAAGTAACTGAGGAAACCCCAAAATATTTGAAACCAGATTACAACCCCCTTCAGTAATTTGGTCCTGTAAGAAAATGTGTGTCAACAAATTATCTTTAACTTCTGCAAGAAAAGACCCACCACCCATGAGTACTGGAATTTATTTCTGAGTAGGAGGGTGAACAAGGCATTGGTTTTATCCATCTTTAAAATGGAATTCAGGATCATAAGCATGCAGGAAAAGTTTCTGGCACAAAAACACTTTGACGAAGGTAAACCGATGTTCTTGCTAGTGTTGGATGTGGAACAAGACCTGTGGTCACAGTCAGTGCCAGGCATGTCTGCCTGAAGCCAAACGCACAGCCTGCCCTGTCCCCTTCCACCTGACCCTTCATACATGAAATACAAACACTGAGGTGTGGTCATTGCTGTCATATATATTTTAATGTAACCTATTCAATAGATACCCTCAAACATGGCTAATGAAAGTATAATTTGGAAAGTAGTTTAGCTGGAAATTTTATCAAGATTAGAAGTGTTCATATTTTTGGAACAAAGGTCTGACTTTCTGACCTCACTTCAAAGCAAAAACTCTCGATTTCAGAAAAAAAGTCTTATACCTTAGATGTTTGTTTTATAGTCGTCTATGACAAGAAATACCAACAATGGCATTGGTTTAATTAATCTGGCATGTAGAATATAATGAAGGTATTTGAAATTATACTTTAACCCTAGTCATACACAAATTATTATAAATTGTGGATTAGTAAACTTGCCATTACTAATTTTTCTTTGTAACTCTAGCATCAAAGAAACTCATGCCTTGGCTTTAAGTGAACACGCAAGTGTGTGCTTTCTGAATGGCTAGAATATTGTATTTCTGTTTCTAAATTTCACACACTTTAATGACTTTACATTTGGAAATGAATTGAAATTGAATTTAGGTCACTTTGAAAATGATGTCATTTTGCAATAATGAGACAGGTTGAAAAGATAATGTTAAGTGAAAAATCAGGAGAGAAAATTGTTGGTACCATCTGGTGACAAAAAAATGAAACTATATCGCCTTTTTGACTATTAGACTATTTGAATAGTAGAGCTATTGATTACACCCACTCTTTTCTTCTCCATGTTTTTTCCTGATATTGATCTCAAAGTCTAATAAGTCAGTAAACAAGGAAAAAATGAAAATGAACATTTTTAAAAGAAAAATATTCTGCATTATCTTATTAGCCTTTTCCTTTCAAATTTCTTAAAGAAAAAAAAAATTTTGTTGAGAAAAAAATGATATATATAAACTTGAAAAACAAACTGCCTTTGAAGTGTAATCTTCTCATCCCTCAAGGTCACATGAAGCCTGACAATAGCCAGGTGTCTGCAATGTGTCCTAGGAAACTCATCACATCGCACTCCCTGAAACAGCATGAGCCCAGCGCAGACAGCCTTACATGGGGCCAACCACACGTTCCGTGTCTACAGGACTTCCGGAAGAGCTAGGGTGATGATGTTGATCATCGATTTAGAAAAAGGACACAAAGAGAATTCTATTCTCCTTCAACTCTTCAGCTGCCCTTCCCCCTGCATGTAGAAAGAATGTCTCTGGCTGAGGATCTGCATCTGGCTCACACCCTCCTCTTCAATTTGAACTTCAGCCACCACCAGGCAGGCTGAATCAAGTCTCCTTGCCAATGAGCCCCTTAATGACCTTGTGGGCAGAATGCGGTTTTGTTTCTCTTTCAGTGACAATGGCACTCAGCCTGACTGCTCAGGGCCGTCTGCATCATTCTAAGAGAACCTTTTTTCCCTCTCCCGCATCTAATCACATTCTCTGCTACTTTATCTTAAAAGAAGCCATACTTACCTCCCAGACCTGAAAGACCCTCTTTGCTCCCCTGGTTCTGACAGAGTAGACTTGCCTTCAGACGGTAAAGCATCTCAAAGGGTATTTACCCAGCTCCGAAGTCCTATCTTCTCCTGAAAATTAAGGATTGGATTTGAATCAGGACCATGCAAAGCTGCCAAGGCACTTGATCAGTACAAAGGTCTTTCTTGAAAACCTACTAGATGTCAGAAGTGCATCAGCCCCTAGAAATATAACAATGGAGACATGTTTTAAACAAGTGAGTCCAATAAGCTAGTCAGCCTCCAGTGAATCTCAAAGAGGGGCATCTTTGCTCCCCAGAGAACAGTCAGCAGTGTCTGAAAGTCATTTTCAGCGGTACGACTTGAGTGAGGTAAGGATGGGAGGAAGCATACTACTGACACGGACAGGTAAAAGCGAGCCTGCACCAGACCCTCTCCAGTGCACTGGCCTGGCCTATACTGTCAGTAGTGCCAATGCTGAGGGACCCTGGTGATTTCCAAACTTAAGCAGACAAAGAATCAGCTGGCGAGCTAGGACCAGAGTTTCTGATTCAGCAGGTCTGGAGCGAAGCCTGAGAATTTGCAGGTGACCCTGTTTACTGGCCCAGGGACCACACTTGGAGAACTACAGGTTTGGGGTTTCAGAGAAGGCATCCCCCCAAAAAAAGTGATATGTAAAGGTTGAACAGGAGTTAAATGGAGAAAAAAGGGAATAGATAGAAATTGTGTAGGCGGGTTGTGCAAAAGCCCAAGCTTTTTGGGGTTTGGGCGTGTTCAACAAACTGCAAAAAAAGGAGCAGGAGCTTGAGTGGAACAGGAGCAGGAGCCAGAGGCATGGGGCTGAGCCATGCCAGGAATGTGGTCTTGATTCTATTTGAAGTGATGGGAAGACACTGAAGAGATTCCAGCAGGGGCTTGGGGGAAGTGGCCAGGCACTTGGTGTGGAGTGTAGAGAAGGTATATTGCCTACAGTTTAAGATAACAAAAGAGCATGGCCTTGGGAGGCAGACAACTCTGGATGTCAATCCCAGTGAGACTTCTTACAGGCTCTCCGATCAGGTGTCCGTGAGCCTCTGTTTCCTCATCTGTAAAATGGGACCATTCAGGGCTCCTTCGCGGGAGAGCTAAGAGAATACATGAGCTCATGTTCATGAAAGTGTCTGGCACACCGAGTACTCAATGAATGCTAATTCTCTTCCATTAAGTGTCCATGATGAAAGGGCCAGGGGCTCCTTCAGGACCTCATTTGCATCTCAAAGTGCACACAGCAAAGCATGGTATCAGCAAGCCAGGTTTGTCCAAAGAGCGCTTGCATCACCTGTGTGCGCCAAACCCGCGCCGGGGCCTGCTGCTGGCATGTTGAAGTGCAAATTAGGCAACCACCGGCCCACACAAAAATGCTGCAAAGCTAATGCTAGGTTTGCAGATACCATCACAAGGCTCAGTCCAAAGTTACCTAATTTATTGACGTTTGGAAACTTCAGAGGCACTTTTACCATGTCCCTTATTGTTTTGTAGCCTGACAATGGGGAGGAGAAACAGCGCTTGGAACCACAATAAATAATAATACTTAGCACTTAAATAACCTTTGTCATCTTCAAAGCCATTTACGAACACTCACAAATTAAGACTTACCCAGCCCCAGCCTTGGGAAAGGGTCATTATCTTTGTTTCTTCAACAAACCAAGGAGGATGAGGTAATGGAGTTGCCCAAACTCTGGCCAGTTGGCATCCATTGGACTGCTTTAATTCAATCCAGTCATCCCAAGTGGGTTTATTCCAGAAAGATCTGGGCGTTTCCTTGGACCATGAGTAGTGCAAAATATTGGATTGGTAGAGCAAGTTCTACTTGTCAAGAATCCCTTAAAAATAATAATAAAGAAAGAAGATGGAAGGAATCTTTTGGAAGTGATGGACAGGTGAGTGTTGCAGATGTTGGTGGTGATTTCAATGTGCATGTGGGCTCTAAATTCATCAAGTTGTACTCATTAAATAGGTACAATTCTTCATATACATCAGCCATACCTCAATAAAATGGTATTTTTTAAAAGAACCCCTTATGAATCCAATTTTGCACAGATGTTCCCAGAATGCTCTGGGCCAGAGTTAATTGGAAGGTTTGCTTTTTCTGCCAACAAGGCACCATCTCCAGTTCCCCAGGTCTCTCCCCCCTCCCACCTCCCAGAAAACCGAGCAAATGTCAGGATTTTGTGTGTTGGATAATTATATAATTAATAATGATAATATCTTAAGGTTTCCTCATCTGTAAACTAGAGATAATGGCCCACTGGGTTGTTATAAGGACAATGTTTGAGGAATGGCAGGCAGGAAACCTGCCCAAGGAAGCATTCCTAATGCTGTTGTGGTTGACGCCATTGTCATTAAACTCATGTCGTTGCATTATTTTCTGTGAGTTTTACGTATGCTCTGTCTTCAGGTGGTTATAACATCCCTCTTTTAAAGATAAGCAGGTGATATTAGCCTCCATGGAAACATGGGCCCAGATGGGACTGACCCTAAACCACGCAGCTAATCAATAGTAAAGCCAGGAGCAGCAAGCAGGGTGTCTGTCTCCCCTCTTCCTTCATAATTTCCTCTTCCCCCCCTCCAAGACTTCTTTGTGTTCATGACGTCTGCGTGGCATGCTCCATCACCCTGTCCAAATTCCAGGCAGATCATGGTGTCTCTGCCCCCCACCCCCACCCCCCAGGCTGCTGCCACAATCGCACCAGACATTTATCAATCCCCTCTTTTGGGCCACATCCTATACCTAGTGCCTATGGACTATCCTCAAGGGGCTTGTCCTCAAGAAGCTTCCAGCTGCTTCTTGTTGAGCAGCAGCTACAACAAGAGAAAGGACCATGTGAAATGGTGCCCTCTAGAATTCTGGGTCTGGGTAATGCTGACCACGCTCACCTTTGCCCCTACTCCCATGTCTCTCGGGGGTGACCTTGGGGAGCTCAGTCCCCTCAAGCACTTTGCCTCCTCATTTGTGAAATGGAAACCATAAGATCAATTTCTTTGGGTTATTGAGTCTAATGAAATAATCCGGGGCGTTTTACAAATAGTAACAATATTTGACAGTTCTTAAAATACTGGTTGCTTTAGTTGATAAAGGAACTAGAAAATAAATTAATAGCTATTTTAAATATAGAGTTATTTGATAGATAAACTTTCTAAAAATAGCTCATGATGGAAAAAAGATCATGGAAGGGATGTCTGGGGCAAAAGGCTGGAAGGTAAACATCACGCTTCTTCCACACCTTTCCTTGGGCCAACAAAGAGCATCATTCTGATTGTGTGGGTCTCGGTCCAGACAGACCTGAATTCCAATCCTAGTTCTGCTGCTTCGTAGCTGTGTGGGTTTAGGCAGGCCCTTCACATCTCCGAGCCTCAGCATCCCGACCCCTGAGTGGGATCACATACACCTGCAACCTCATCGCACTAAGATACTGTGCAGAATACCTATTTCAGAACCTGAGACATAGAAGGCAATTTGTAACAAATGCTTTCTTAATTTTGACTAAGGTACAGAAGAGAAAGGACAGTGTGGTCCAAGTTCTCTCATTCTCCAGGGAGTAGAATGAGGAATGCTCTTGTTAAGGCTGAGTAGCAGTCGATGGCTAACATGTGGAGGTGTGATGCTGATGAGAGAAACAAAGGCGGTGCGCTGACACCCTCAGTGTCTGTAGGTGCTCAGCAAAGAAAAGAGAACCAAGGCTGGTTGTCCGCGGGTGCCATGTGAGGGTGGCAGGGGGCTACGCTGCCCGAGATGACCCTGCAGGTCGGGGGACCACACGCCCCATGCTGCTGAGTGTTACAGCTCTCTTTTGAGACTTAGTAAACCACCCCAGATGTAATGCCTTAAAGTGCCACATTTTGTTCATGTGTCTGTAATTTCATAGGGCTCTGCGGGGGGAGGGGAGAGGGAGAAAAGAGGAAAAGAATAAAGAGGGAAGACAGGAGGCAGGAGAGGCCAGGGAGGGAGAAAGGGAGGGAGGGATGGACAGACAAATGTTATTGAAAGTTACAGGACAGAGCCTACTTAAACTGAGAAAAATTAAATTATAGGGGACACCCCACACAAACACAGGGGGCCCAAGGGAAAGGGAATTCTTGAGGGGCTGGAGGTTGTGCCGGCCACCCCGACACCTCTTCGCTCTCAGAGTCTGTCACCCTCTCCAAGGAACCAGCACGGTGATGATTAACATTCCCGATTCCCCAAGACGGGCGGTGCAGGCTTTCATCTCCCGGTGTTTATAAATGCCTTTGAAAATGGAATGTGCCACATACATACTAAGAGCTATTATTAATATGGTGTCCAAACACCTCTCTCCACATGATAGTTAAGGAACAAAGCATCGGTTAGTGTCAGAGAACTTCAGCGTAAGCATGTGTGTGCGCTCACGCCCCAATTAAGGAATGTTCTTTATTCTCATGCGCCTCAGAAGAAGCAGGCTCTTCCACAGGGACCAGAGATGGAGCAGGATCGGGGACATGGAAGGGCTGGAGTACAGACCTGGGTGATGGTGGGGCAGGATTAGTGCAGGCTCATTTGCCATTTGCTGCAAGACAGGAGCTGAACCCTGTGGGGAATGAGAAAGCTTGAGGGATGCAAGGCCCGATGCTGGGATTCGGCCATGGCCAGGATACTGAGTCTGAGTCCAGATGCTCACCTCAGAAGAAAGACTTCAAGGTCAGTCCCTTGTATGTGGATGATGAAATAAAGCAAAGGAAAAAACGAAACGACAAAAGCAGACTCAGATTCTGATTGCAGAAAGGTGGTTCCTGGAGGGGGAGGGCCAGGTCGGAAGGGAGGGGTTTGGGGGTAAAACAGGCAATGTGGTAAGTGGCCAGGGGGGCAGATGCGCTCGACTCTTGGAGAGGACAGGGCTGTGTCATGTGGACATTCAAGCATAAAGCCGTACACCTGAAACCGCAGGGTAGAAACCAGTGCAGACTCATTAAAAAAAAAAAAGTGAGTTGACCAAGTTCCAAGTGCAGATGACGACCAGGGCCAAACAGTAGGGGGAGACCCTACCTGTCAATCACTAAAATGTTTGCTGGGATTTCAGAGGCGCTGATTCTAACCCATTTTGTTCATGACCTCTTTAAGGATCCAGTGATGAATGGACGTGGGAATCAAATCTTGCATCCGGGGTCTGATGAGCTCACAAATCCCCTAAAACTCTGGGCCTCCCTGGTGGCGCAAGGGGTTAAGACACAACCTATGAAGCTATTAGCAGCCACTGCAGCACAAGTTAGATCCCCCACCAGGGAGCTACCCACATGACACAGCAGACCTGTCCTGTTGCGCCCTCTGCTCCCCTCAGCAGTGTATTTCAGTCCATCTGCCTGTTCTGCTCCCCACTCTGTCTCTTGTGAATCCTCTCACCCACCATACCTCTGGGCTGAGAGACTGAGTTTATAAGGGCAGGGTCATGGGGACGCCAGCAGAAGCCAAGAACAAACGGAAGCCGAGAGAAGAAGAGAAGCAGAGAGAAGGCCAGAGAGCCCAGAGAGAGTGAGGATTTGCTGGGGTCTGGGAGGACTGCCAGCCTCCTGGCCCCCCAGCACCCCTGCCTGCCATATGCCTGGTGAACCCCAATAAAAGCCTGCAAAAGCCACTGAGGCCTCTGACTCCTCCTTTACCCGGTCTGCTGGGTCAGAAAACCTGCTCCATGCCTGCCCTGCCCCTACACTGCGTAAATAAATAAATCTTAAAAAAAAAGAAATCCCCTAAAGCTCTGTCCTCACAGCATCCTTCCCATTCCCGGAGTGTAGGGGCGACCTCTAGGTTGTGAAATTAGCAAACTGAACACAGAACAGGGGCCAGGTCTTCTCCAAATCTAGATCCTCGGCATTCAGCCCAGCACCAACCAAGCATGTCACTCACTTAAAACAAGTAAGCACGTAATTGAAGTATCTTAAAGAGCTATGGGTCCTTCTTTCTTTATCTCTACGGTCTTTTATTTATTGGGGGTTTTTTGTTGTTGTTTTCTTTTGTTTTTTGGTGATTTAGCTCTTCTCAGGGGTTGCACTATCACAGGTGAGAGAGAGCCAAGAATAAACGAATGGACAGCTGAGCCACCCAGCATCATCTAGAGCACAGGGGAAGGTTGTTCCATTTGCCCCCGCAGGTTGCACGCTCTTGTGGAAGTGCACGGGGGACCACCATGCATTCACTGCAGAATCACCATCTAGAATGGAGACATGGAGCAGGGAGCAGATATCCCAGAATAGAAAAGCGTGCGCAAGTCAAGCCTCGGCTCCAGCTGAGCAGAAGCAATCTGGGCATTCTTCTTAAATGCCCAAATGTTCTCTCCCCCCAGAAGAAACGGGAGTAGCTCTCGCCCAAACACAGCCTGCTGCGTAAATGCTGCTGGTAAATGCTGGTAAATGCTGCTGGAATCAGCCCTCCACCAGACGCGCGCTCGTGGGCACTCATTCCCTGAAGAGAGGGAGCCCATCACTTCAGCACAGTCTTTGTTTATCCACAGTCCACACTTCATAAAAGGAGAGCAAGGCAAAGATGGGAGAGCATGAGAGACAGGGAAGGAGGCAGGACCCAGAAGGAAGACTTCTCAGAGTCACAACATCCGGTTCCCTCTCTGTCCGAGAGAGTAACTCCCCTTGAAGAGGTAAATACAACAAACGTCCCCTTCAAGTCCTGCCCCAGCGACCAAAGCAAATGAGGAGCTGGAGTGAAGGAGCCTCCATAACCCAGAACACAGTTGGAATCCAAGCGAGGGGGCCGCTCCTGGCGCCTGCCCTGCACCCTCCCGGCCACTTTGCATGCTGTCACAAGGCCCCTCACCTTGAGGGCTTCCAACTTCCGGCCACCTTGAGGGGCTTTTTGTTC